GAAACGTAATGTGAGGCCAAGCCTGATAAAGATACTACAAGAACTCGTGGCGACACCGGATTGGCTAGTAAAAGTCCAGTACAATAATAAGGTGATCCAATCTCTTTGGAGAATGGTGCAGGCGGTCGGTCCTAGGTATCTGAATAGGCAACCGGGTAGGGTCGGGCCTATTTCGAATGTACTTATAATGGTAAAAATACTTGATGTGTGATCACCCCCCTGTAGAGGGGTGGTTAGTAGGGATAATTGATCATGGCAAGACTTAGCCGAAGAAAAAAAAAAAAAAAAAATCTAAGTAATTATCACAAATTAGCCCAACTAAATGAAATATCTTGGAATTATATTAATTGAATAATTAGTTGTTTAATTGTTTAAAAAATTTTCAAATCAATTAGTTAGAAAATTGGCAACTAGTTGGTTTTTTAACTAATAATTTGAAACACTACTTGTACTCTTCTTTTGCTATATTCCTAAAGCATTTTATGATTTTTTTATTTTGATATACTGTTTATTTATTTTTACAACAAGGCTGCTAGCTTTTAAAAATTAAGTTTTTTTTAAAAAAAAAAGATTTTTATAATTTTGATAAAAAGTTTTAAAGTATTCTAATAGAAAAGCTCAAGTATTTTAATAAAAGAGATCCGAATAAACCTCAAAAAAAAAAGAGCATTTAAAAGCCCAAAACACTCAGATTTAAGATCTTGAATTCATGTGCTTTAAATGATCAAAAAGTATAAAAAAAATTTGATATGCCAAAGGCGCTTTTTCACACTCTAGTTTCTTGAATAAGTATGGTCTCAGGGTATCTGCATCCGGTTATCATATGAAAAATTTCAATCTTTATAAGTATGCACGTGACTTGTGATCGACCAATAAAATTGCGATTACGCGTAACATTAAATTTGATTGGTCTACCCAAGTCACGTTTTTGTCTCATTTGTTATGAGTACATATAAATTTGGTATTTTTAAACGATTATAAGTCAAGAAAAAAAAACCAACTTTTTTAATAGAAGGCCGCTAAGTTGTAGTAAATAGTTTTGGCTACAATTTGGCAGTTTCTTTTTTCTTTGTATCTTTTCTACATCATGAGCTATTAGCTTTTAAAAATTAGTAAATATACTTCAGTCTTTAAGTGTCGTGAACTATATGATCGTTCTCACTGACAATGTTCAACAACACAATCGTCGGAATTAAGGTAATTACAATACGTACTAATTAATAAATAACTAAGTCTAGTAATTAATACGTATATAGTATCGATTACCAATATAGGAAACCTATACTAATGTTACGTACGAATTAATCATAACACCGGATAATTTTTTTAAACCCAAGGCCGGCCCAGGAAAAAAAAAAAAGCTCAGATCATGAGTTTTCTTTAAAAGCTAGGCCCAAGCTCTAGGAAGAATTCGTTTGATTGGCTGGCGTAGATCAATTGCCAGATAATTTATTTATATGGTTTAAAAGTACTTTTTGAGAACGTGACGTTTCACCAACAAAAATTCACCGCAAACATAGTTAACAACTTTATGGATGTTTGATCATGCGATTGCCAGCTATAGACTTTCCGTACCATATTAATGAAGTATTTCTTTCAATGTAAATGTATTTATCTGGAGTTCGATCCAATATCATTAATCATGTGTTTGAGCCACAGTCAATAATAATTAAACGAGGCTGTGCTCAAATAATGGCTGTGTTCTTGGCATAAAAATTTTATGAACCCAACTTGTAAAGAAAAAAAAATTCATATTAGTTTACAGGTTTCATCTTTATTTTGCTCGGACCTTAACAAATTAATAAATTATTTTAATACATTTATCAGCCTCAAGATGCACCTTAATTATTGAAATGACTTTAGAGAACGGATATAAATTTTTTAGGCTGATAATAATATTGGGTTTTTATTTTGGAGTGAGGTTTGATAAAACCAGTTTTCATAGAATACAAAATTAATATTAATGGTCCGGAGAATATGGACTCCTTTAATGTATAATCAGTGTAAACTATTCCGGACTCCTGTTATTCGGTTGAGATAATTTTCGATCAGTTAACCTTTTCAATAAATCCCATAAATATCATTACTATTACGATAATATATCAATTATAATGCTAAGAGAACCTGAATAACAAGCGCAATAATCGATTTTCGTAAGGCAAATATACATTTATGATTCAAGGTTGTTCATTCATTTGATAAAAAAGAAATTCAAAAATTAATTTAGTAGTAATGTATGTTTCTTTAAATTTCAAGATCAAAAAAATAACCAAATGGTAAAGTTTGGTCAATTTCAGAGTTATATATGCATTATCGTTTTTTACTATCGCTATTTGTTTCAATGTGGTAATGCAGTTGTAGTAAAGCGAAGCCCCCTCTGTGAATACTATAAAGACTTGTATATAATAATAATTAATCTCGTCATACTGGGTGGTGTTCTTAAAAGATCATTATATGGTCTGGTTTGGTTATTTCATTGATTTATTGCTGTTGAATGAAATTTCTTAAGTGGTCAAAATTAATTAACTAATTTTGGAATGCATTAGGAGATTTTGGCGCAAATTTTTTCACAGCCACAACACGTACTTGTTTCTACGTGGAGTCGTCAGTTGCGAGTTCTTAAAATAAATGATAAAAACCTTTTGATAATGAAAAAAAAGGATGATTGCAATTATGCAGTCAAAGGAGGTTCTTTTTATTATAAGGCGTCAATAAAAAGGAGTTTCTTTTTATTATAGGGCGTCAATAACAATTTATATATATATATATATATATATTTCAGAACGAAAGCTCCTTTTGTCTCTTCAACTTTATGATAGTGTCACTTCCTCGGTTTCAACCGTAACTGCGAAAACGAATAACTTAGTAACGAACAAATATGAATAGTGGTATTACAGATCCAGATTCATCGAGCACAACAGGCATTGGGACAACTTCACCCGTACCCACTGATGGAGTTGCCTTTACTGTACTATGCGCTGCAGCCATAGCTCTTGTAATTACGGCTGCTGCTTTATTCTTTGTTACTCGTAAAAAACTGCAACCGGATGAGCTTGACAAATCTGAGAATGGTTTATATCGAAAGAATTCGTTTTCAGATGAAATATTCTTGAAAAATAACAATTCAAAGGATTCAATACCGCATTCGCTTGGTATACCAAGAGATCAACCAAAAGAAGTTAAACCTTCCACTCCTCCGTCAACAGGAAGCGCTACTCCCGCAGCTATTTTTCCTCAGTTAAATACACAGGCTCCCTTTGATTTGTCACCTGATTTTTTCAATACTCCGCCAAAGGCTCATAAATCTCTAATTAGTAGGTCAAGATCATCTTTAGATCTCAGTCCTCGTAAGGAGAAAGAAGAACCACCATTCAGTAGTGAAACCACTCCTTTTAATGATTCACCTGGACCACCGTTAGGAAGTGTACACCACGTTCCTAGAATTGAATCAGAGCAATTGGGTGAAAGTCCATATATGACATCTCATCATCATTCAACTGATTTTTTACAGGAAATGCCTTCACCCATGAGACATGAATATTCAACGTCACCTGTTCGTTCTCCAAGAACCTCTGGAGATGTTCGTCCACAGTCACGACAATCATCAGATTACATGGCGCAGTCTCCACAAGAATTTCAAGATCCTCAATACCATTCAACTTTTGATGAATCCAATATATACACGGAAGGTTCACCTATTAATCTCGAACCTTCTACTACTAGGTCGGAAAGGTCAGAAAGGTCACGTAGTCGAGGCAGAAGTTTATCTCCGTATATCCATAGACATGCATCTCCATATGAACCGACTGAATTCGATGATACAGATATTGGCGATCAACCACATCCAAGTGTGTCAAGATCATCCGAATCTCCATCACCACCACCAACAGAACGACGTCGACCACCAAGAGGAGGAATATACACACCAGAAGATAGTGCTGGTGCTCCATTAACATCGTCAGCATCAATTACTCGTCGTGCTCGTAGTGCTAGGCGTCAAGGACAACGTCGTGGTGGTGGAAGCAACAGTGGAGCCACTTAGCAAAAAAGTTAATTAAATTTAATTTTATTCACAAAGGATAATTATGATTAATATTCATAGTTTAAACATTTTCAAAGGGTTTTTATCAGTATTCAAGCTTGCATTATTTCCTTGCAGGGGGATAAAAAAATCTCATAAAGAACATTTCATTTTAGTTTATTTTTTCACAATAAAATTATGCAATGTTTTTTGTAATTTTATAAAATTGATGAAATATATAATGAAGATGATAATTTTTTGTTTTAGAATGTTATTACTGTATTAAAGTGGGAAAAAATAATTTTTATTAATATATATACATGTCCAGAAAAATTGATATTTACATACACAGCTAATTTGGTTGTTAAAAACTTTAATGGAAAATTTTGCAATTATCCACTCTTTATATGTAAGATGGTTGAAGTTTGTTTATTAAATTCCAGATATGTATGTACGCACTGTAATTAAAGTTATCTCTAAACCAAAGATGACAAAATTTTCATAAACGCTATATTAAAAATATATATACAATGTTTTAACTTGCACAGTATAAAAAACAACTTTTATTATTATTGATTTACTTATAAAACTTAGAACTTATATTAATATATAAAAATTTGTTATATTTAAAAATACAGTATAGAGGGGCTTTAATTCTTGAACACTTGGCTTTATTAGTTCTAAACTTTGATCGCGTATCGGGGGTATATATTTGGTAACATTCGAATGTTACCAAATCATATCACATCACGATATATTAACGATCAAAGCTTACCTAGAAAAGAACTAGTAAAGCTAAGTGTTTAAAAATTAACGTTCTTTGTACTGCAAGTTAAAAAACAATTTTTAAAAAAATTTTTGTAATAAAAATTTTAAAGCAAGAATTTTAATTTTTATTATTTATTATATCTAGTTAAGTTGATATAAACTAGGTAGATAATTTTTAATGCACAACCAAACTTATAGGCCAAATATTAAATTATTTGCCCGGCTTAACATGTCGAATATTAAAAGTAGCAAGAGAGGTAGAATCGGAATCCCATTCAGATTTGCTTTTTATGTGATTGTACAATAGTGGTGAAATTATTTCACCATATTTCACCAGCATCTATAATTGTACTATTGGTCAAATGATAATACATTATTTGATTTTAACCAATCAGAACCCTTGATACTCAACAGCCAAGCTTTTTTGCGCGGAAGAAATCTATTATTCGACCTAGATTGACCTGCAGTAAACTAATTTAGAAGCTAAAAAATTGAGATTAGGTTTGGGTTAGAAGTGAACTTAAAAAATAAAGTTTATACCGAATTTGTGAGAGGAATATTCGAAAAGCTATTACAATTTTTAATTTGTCGATCACGATCTACAAAACCTGGACTGGACTCAACGTTAGCTGTTTGTATGCATCACGTGATTTTTAATTTACGAATTTGTTAGTAATCAATTTAAAAAATTACTTGGCCACCTCTTAAGTGCAAGATTTTCAACGTTTAAGGGTGCGATCAAGATCGTGCCAAGCACTATGATTAATTGATTTGCCATAGTGCGAAATCCGGATATTAACAAGATGATCACGACCATCTTGCGATGATGAACTCACCAAATAAATTTTAACTATTACTCGTGTTTGAGAACACTCTAGATTTCAACCACGTATACCTACACTATTGGGTTTGTGAATTTCTAAATAAGTCTTTGTTTTATAAGATCTTTAAAACCGTATCCATGTCTTCCATACGTTGTCCCATATAAATTTACGAGAATCGTCGAATTCTTCTCTATAGCAACTGGTAAACTATCGGAAATAAAATGTGCAATCGTTATGGTCATTTTTTTTTGTTCCTCCAACCCAATGATGTGGTTACAACGTACAATTAATAGCTTATTTCAGTAAACCCTGTCTATTTACAATTGCAAGTGCAGAAAGATTTACGACCCTGAGTTATCAGTTATGTCCTATTGAAAAAACGTCTTTAAATAGGACGTACCCAATGACATAAATCTTTTTGCACCTATATTTATTGAATAATGTAGATTTAAAGATATTAGGTTTCATATGAACGTGCACATCGTATACGGACTCAATAATTTATACTAATAAATAACAAAGTTATATAAAACTATAAATTTTACTGTAAGGTTACTTATGTAACAAGAATATTATTATTAATTAAAATTCTACAAAAACAGTTCCATTATTTTGATGATTATCTTCACTAAAACAAGAAAATTGCGGAGAACCTATTCTCTTAATCTTTCTTGATTCCTTCTTACAAAACTCAGAAATAACGTGACTAAAATATTTTTGATCACCTACAACTTTAACATCAGTAAACCCCCATGCTATATAATGTAGATTTCGACCACATATTGAAAGCATGTCTTCTAAATCTTGAGCGCAAATAGACCAATATCTTATTTCAAGATGTCGAACACTTGATGGTAATTTTGTTGCGAACCATCGAAGTTGTTCATTAGAAACTTTATAATATGGAAATCTCATGG